TAAAGACATTGTACTCTCTCCTTGCTGTAAAGATGTGCAAATTCAAACTTCCCTTTCCCTGCCTTTCCAAAACTGATTTTGCATTCTTGCAATGTTTCCTGCAAGTGTTGCTGTAGTGTCGGCTGTGATAAGGAGGACATTGTACTCCCATCACACTGCTGATATGTTTATTAGCATGTTATTTCACATCAGGTTCATCAAGAGCATCTGTGTTTGTGTACAGGAGGATTTCTCTTCTAAAAACAATACAGTTCAGTGAAAAGTAGGGTATTAATAGAAAGCTTTGTCCCTATGTTCAGCAGAAGGATAAATAAGGAAGATAAGAAGGAAACATCCAATTCTTGGCAGTCCAATTCAGGTTGGATATCAGGAAGAATTTCTTCACTTGAAAGGATGGTTAAACATTGGAATGTGCTGCCCAGGGAGGTGGTGGAGTCACCATCCCTGGCAGTGTTCAAGAAACAACTGGATGTGGCACTTAGTGCTCTGATCTAGCTGACAAGGTGGTAATTGGTCAAAGGTTGGACTTAATGATCTTGAAGGTCTTTTCCAACCTTAATAATGCTATGATTTTATTTGTGTCATATGGATGTGTATCTGGGTGTGATTTTTCTGCTGTGTACATTGTTCTCTTGGCATCACACTGCAGATAGCATGTACTTAAATTCTACTTCTGCAAAATATGTTGTCCTATATTTTGGCAAGACATAAAGATGCAGAAATCTTAATGGACATGAAAGCATTAAAAGGAAGCTATTGTTCAACAAACTGTAGCTTTCATTCATCCTGTAACTCTGTAATAAATGCAAGATGTTGAAGGGAAAGGAGCCAAATATTAGTGTGGTCCTAAGAGACCAAACAAATAATGGAGCTACTTAAATTTGTCATTCTTCTTTCATGATTACATTCAAATCTAAAATATACACAGATGTTATTTCTGTATAGATAGTTTTGTTTTGTGAGCATTGTTAAAACTTTTCAGTGGTGTTTATAATATAATGTTTTCCCTTTTTCATTTTTTTAGGAGCTTGTGGATTTTTAAAATTTAAGTCTAGCAGGCAGTAAATTGTTACAGGGTGTAAGGAATCTTTAGTGTATTAGAGAGCTGCTGTATTACCTGATCAGTACTGTGGGCAGAGCACCAGCTTGGAGTTCCACACAGAAGTGTGATGACAGTGACAATAACTTTCCCTTTCACATGTGTAATGATTTGTCCTGAGTTTTAGGAGTTTGGTCTCTGAAGACATGGGTGTTCAAATGTAAGGCCTGCTCTGCTGTGAGGCAGAAATGGTCCTCTGTGTGCAGAGGTGTCTGGTGTTTAGATTGACTTTCTTATGGGAAAATGGTTTCCATGCTAATATTCCTGTGTTGGACCTGTGGAAGGAAAGGAACGTGGGTTTGGACGGATTCATAATCCAGCAAGTTGCTTAACCTTGCCTAATGCTCTCCATGTGAACTCTATAGGTGCTTGCAGAATAAAGATCTCAAATAGCTTGTGGGGGTCTTGTATGAGAGAGGAAAGCAAATGAACTTTCTCTAAGCATGGCTCTCATATGTCAGTCCAGATTTTCCTGGAAAACTCTTAACTGTGTGTGTTCCCTGAGCTCACATCTGCCTGTCATGTACTGTAGGAAAACCAGGGTTTCTGAGGTGAAGGCAGTCCTGAATGCAGACTCTTGCACGTGTGTGCCAGTCCCTCAGTGAATGGCTCTGTTCAGGTCCCTCCTTGAGGCTCTGTTGCAGTGTGTCTGGGCCTGACGAAATAAACAATTCCTCAGAACACACCCAGAGCAGTTTTTGTGGCTAATTGATAATACAGTTTTTAGTGTACATGAGGGTTAGGAAACAGGCTGGAGGCTCAGCATGGGAACTGGTTAGCTGCTTGGCCTGGCAGACTCTGCACTGCCCCTGGAGCAACAAACCCAGTGTGGCATCTTGTCATAACTGGACTTGTCTCCAGAAGCTGCTGCTGTAACCCCAGCAGTTCGGATGGGAAGTTTCCAGAGATGTGCTATGTTTGATCAGCTAATGTTGTCTGTCCAGCCACATCACTAGTGGCATCTACTCTTCTGTGAACACATGATGAGCAGTTTGAACAAAATTCTCCCCATGGAAGGTGATGTTGCCTGACTTTCATAAAGTAGTTACCAGTGTGTGAGTTCAAAATCCAAAGCTGCTGCGTTGTTTTTTCACTTTCCCTGTAGCCTTAAGTCAGAAAGGGACTTGTGAGGCACATAAGAACAAACCTTGTTCTCCACCTTCCTGTTGATTTTAATACCAGTGGAAGACAAAACCCCATAGTATCTTCATCAGATTTCTGTTCAGAATCAATATATCCGAAATTTATTCTATGCTTCTAGTGTGGAATGTGTTGAAGCCAAAGGTGAAGAACGATAATAAAATGATTTTCCCAGTGTATCTTAGGCTTAGAAATCAACTTTGTGAGTTCCTAGCTGTCTGAAGTTTGCTGTATTTGCACAGATGAGCAGCTGGTCTTACAGGCAGTGGTAAACCTTCCTTGGGATTTAGAAACTTCACCCAAAGTAGCACCCAAGGTGCACTAAAAGCACATAATTAATCCCTGTGGAAGTTGCCTGCTCTGTGCAGCCAGAACGTGAGCTGGCCATTGTTGCCAAATCATTTGATTGCATGAAACCCTATTATTTCTAATTTAAAGCTCTGAGAACAGTAATTTGATTGTCTCAGATATCTCTTAATGCCTTAACAATGAAAAAAGGCCTACATATTTCGTTCTGAAACATCACTGCTTGCAGGCAGGGGTTACTTTTTTGTGTCTCACCAGTGGTGATAAGGAAGCAAACGATACCTTACGGGTGTTTGCAGCACATCTACAATCACCAGCAACATTTCTGTGCAATATTTTTGGTGTTAGGGCTCTTTTTGCAGGAGGAATGAAACTATATGCCATCACTTTTTTTTTTTGGCCTATGCACTGGAAAATAAAGAGGATTATTAAATATTGTGGTTTCATACATGTCTCAGAATAATACAGAATTTTATTTCATTGAATGCGGAATTTTAGTAGTTAAGAGGTTTGAAAATAAGTGTTCTTAGTATCCCAGGAATCTGCTGAAAGCAGTTTTCTTGGGATGTATGTTATCATTGGCTGTTTTGCTCTAATCTTTCACTGGGGCTGTTATTTCTCTGGAAACTTAGAATAGTTGCACATTCATAAATGAATTTCATTTAGTTTTCAAGTAAGGAGAATGATTCCTGCCATTCTGTCTTTATAGATGTGGAAGGTAAAGGAACAGTATTAGCATTGTAGATGACAGTCCTTGCTCTTATAATTTAATGATAAGCTGCATAGCTGTAAGAGAGAATGTGTTAGGAGGAAATGTAAACCACTATTTTCATATTTTGAATATTTCCATTGAGTTTTTAGTGTGATAAAATGTTTAGATTTACTCAAGAAATAAAAATAGACACATAGGGGAGATGTAGCAAACAGAACAGCTTTTAATAGTGTGCAGTAGCACACAGGTAACTGCTCCACAGTTTAGGCTGTGTCAAGATTTCCATCATGAATCCAATTTTCAGAATTTTTCCTTCAGTCTGAAACTTGGCAAGGCGTTTCTCTGCCCAAGAATGAACTTTTTCAACTGAAGTGCATCTGGACTCTGAATTTCTGGGATTTTATAAGAATTTTTGGCGTACTGGTTGCTGTAATACCAGTGGGAATGCTGCAGTGATTTTTCAGGCAGAAGGATGTAGTGTGTGTGTGTGTGTAAAATACAGATGGTTTAATGTGCAATGAGATATGCTGTATTATCTGTTTAGTTAAACCACACTTTGTGCTAAAAGGGATTGTAATGCTTATCATAACAAGCAAGTTAGTTACCCAGGGAGATGTCACAGGGGAAGGCACCGAGGAGGCTTTGCTACAGAACTTTGCCAGTGTGTGCTAATCTTGACTTGCATTATTGTATCTGCTCCTTTGTTGGGCTGCTCTGTGAGTGACTTGGGTTTGTGCTGCATTGCAGTGAGTCGCATGGCAATGTACAGATGAATGTAGAGTAGGATTAGACCAAAACCCCATTATCTGGCCAGTTCTCAGGAGGTATAAAGTGACAGGTCTCCTGCCTTGCCTAGAACTACTTGCCACCCAGAGGAGTGCAAGAATGATTTATGTCACAGGCTTTTTGTTGGAGAGCTTCCAAAGAAAGCAGTGGGAATGGTGTGGATTACTGTCTTCTGTGTCATTAAAAATGCTCTGGGGAACTGAGCCCTTCCTTGCCCTGTCCATGAATTCTAGCACTCCAGTCAGGGGTTTGGGGGTGTAATAATTGCTATCTGCAGTTTGAAATGCGTTCACTGTGGCACTCCTTAAACATTATTTCTTTTTAAACCATTCAAAAATGGTGTAGTTAAAGGAGATATGGTTTTCCTGACTTCATTATTTCATTTTGGTTTTGAGTCATAACAGACTTGATGTCAAGTCCTGCCCAACCACTGGCTGGTGTTCAGATGTAGACAGTGTTAACAGGGAGAGGATTTATTCACATGGTATCTTTCCTTCACCCTGGAGTTGTACTTCACAAGAAGTGTCTCTCAGCCACCCACTCACAGCACTATGAAGCAAAAGTTTGTTTGCATTCAGTTGAGCCAGGGGATGTTTTGGAAAGGTATCTGGTTGAACTCCCAAATGCAGTGTCCCGAAACACCTTACAACAGCCCCTGCCTATGCTCACCAGGATCTGAGTCCTTCACTGACTGTTGAGTTTGGGTCAAGCTCTAGCCAGTCATCTTTCTGAAAGAAAATAATTGTGTTATGTATTATGTTTATTATGCACAGGTAATATTTAGGCATCTTTCTAATCCTATTACTGATGAAATCTGTATTAACTGTTATTGTATTCCTATTGCAGATTTCATGTAACTATTGATGTTTCTGTTCAGGACAATATTAGTCCTGTGACTGACATGTCAGGTCCCTGCTATTAACCTCTACTTCTTTCTCTCCCCTACCCCTTTTTTAGAGGCCTTTGAATCTTTGCTGCGCTTTGCTGAAAACCGCACAAGCTCCCTGTTTGAGACAGCTTACAGACCTATGGCAAAAGAAGCAGCAGAGCCTGTTAAGGAGCTTTTTACAGACATCTCTCTCTACATTCTGGGTGCAGAGACTACAGTGGAAAGTGCAGTACTGCGGTTCTTTGACAGTCTCTTTCCTCTGGTGTATAGTCGGCTAATAAACCCAGGAATTACAGATCTATCAGAGGACTATACAGAGTGTCTGCGGCTTACAAGGCAAGACATAAATCCTTTTGGACACTATTCTAAAAACATGGTTACAGAGCTGTCAAAATCTCTTTGGGCAAGTAGGATGCTCAGCCAGGCCCTCAGTCTGGGCATTGAAGTGATAAATACTACTGAACACGCCGCTCTGACGAAGGAGTGCAGCAGAGCCCTAGTGAAGATGCAGTACTGCCCCCACTGCCAGGGCCTGACACTGATCAGACCCTGTGTGGGATATTGTCTGAATGTAATGAGGGGCTGCTTGGCCAGTGTGTCAGAACTGGATGCACAATGGAGGGAGTATATCTCCACACTGGAATATCTGACTAATGAAATGGCTGCCTCTCACGATCTGGAAATTGCACTGTCGGGAATCTGGAACTCCATCAATGAAGCCATCCTGCACGCACAGCTCAACGGACCACAGCTCTCTGCCACAGTAAGTGCTCTGTAATTATTGGCTGCTCACATTTATCAATTCCCTGTTTGGTGGATAAACATGTGAACAAGTTGGTGTTGCCTTTGCGTCACTTTTTAATCTTAGACTGCATCTTTGTTTAATAGTCGATGAAAGTATTACAGTGATGATGGGGTGCAGTATGGTCTGCTTTGAAATAAAGGGGTTGGGGGGAAGTTTGTTCCTTCAGAAGCAAACCTGTAAAGCAGAGAGCTCTGCTTTGTCTGTACAATTTTCTGAACAAAAATTTGGGGTCTATTATACTTGTTATCAATTGTTTCCCTGGCATGTAATTGTAGTGTGTGTGTACCTTCCATAGGAATTGGTATAAGAGGCTAGAAAAGTGAGTTTCTAAATAAAGGCAAAGAAATTAACTTCCACAATTGTATAATCCCTTTAATTTCGTGTTGATTTAGACATCAGGTAGGTAGTACAGGTCTATAATAAGTAGACCCGTCATAGAAAAGTTGGGAATAGAACATGAAAAAATTCAAACTTATTTGACAGCCTTTACATAAAGATAAAAATACACTTAAAGTGGATCCATGTTTTTAAGGGGTGTAGATTAAGGAGGAAAGAACTAGGATGGTGCAACTCTCACATAAATAATAGCAGCATATGACTGGCAGATGTTCTCTCAAGGTGTTGAAGATTAGACCAGAAATTACTGAGATGGCTAACGATGCAGCTGTCCACATCTGTATGAAGTTCAACACAACTGTCAATGAAAAAAAAATGTGGCAGTTGTGGCCTTAAGCAAGGCAAAGACTAATTTAAGAAGTGCAGATAGATCTCCCTGTCTTGAAAGTAAAGGAATTCTTCTAGAGAACAAACAAGAAGGAAATGCACAAATCTAAAAATATAGTGCATATGTGGAATTCTGGTCATCACATCATGTAAGAGAAAAAGTTGTCTGGAGGGTCTACAGAAAGAAGCTGTGGTAGAGGGTATTCTAAACTAAGGAAGTATTTTTATAGGAGAAAAATCCTTGCATGTTTGCAGCCTTCCAAGTTCCCTAATATTGCAGCCATCTTCACTGTAGAACACCTGACAGAGCCAGAGACTTACAGTCAATGTTTATATGTAGATTATTAAGAAAACCCAACCACTTCTAGTGATCCAATAAAATTTCACTTTAGTTATCTCAGTTCACATTGCCTCAGTTTTCCTTTCCTTTTCATGAGTGACAGTTGTGTCTGCTAGTTTATCTGACATCCAAGGATAAACTTGAAAATTTTCTAGGAAAAGCCTTGTCCAGGTTCTTGAATAGTGCACAGTAGGCATTGGGGCCTTCCTGCATTTTAGGTCTTCATCGTACTCATGTCTAGTGCTGGTGTCATTGTGTATCTCACAGAGCAGCGTAAAACCTGGAACATGTAATGAGCAGTGATCTTGTATCTGCTCTTATTTTTGCTCTGAGGTTGTTTTTGAGTCTAGGAGGGAACTGAAAATCAAAATACACTACTACTGTATGATGGTTTTATCCGACTATAGATGGATACCTCTAAATCATTGCACAGCTTCAATGCTGAGTCCACTGAAGGAATTAGGAAGAAAATTGAGCTTTCTGACTACGAGCAGCAGAAATGGTCTGACATGTTTCCTGTGATGCCTGCAGCATGTTTACAAAATGCTCAAACCTAACTCTGCATTGCATTTGTCAGCCTCCTAATTAACATGCACTTGCTTAGCTTACTGGTGGGGTAAAAGTCATACTCCAGGTGAATATTGGAGAATTATGGATGAACTCAATGAGTGTATTGCGTTTAGGTGATTTGGGCATCGAATTCTCTCCGAAGTGTCAGGCTCAGGATTGTCTTTAATGATTATTAAAATAATTTTATCTGGGGCCTTCAGTTCCGTAGCATACCTTGAAACATTCTTCCATTCAGAATGAATTCAGAAAGTGCTGTTGTGTTTGAAACTCCATTAACTCTTTTATCCCCAAAGTTATCCTTGTTTTTCCTCCCTAGCAAAATCTCCATGTGTGGAAGATGACTGTGTTGTTTTAGGGGCTGCTTGGCAGGGTGGCAAAGGATGTTTTCTGTTTGAAAATAAAAACTCTGAGCCAGTGTGTGTTACCCTCAGTCCTTCCAGCTGCCAGCAGGGCAAGATCATATTTGGAAGAGCATGTTTCACTATTGGAGTAAGTATTAATCTGATGCTGATTTAAAATTTTCCTGATTAGTTACAGAGGATAACTGTTATTTAGAAAATTGAGCCTAACTGAGCTGTGTTTCCCTCTCTGAAGAAGCGGAAAGGAGTTCAGTCCTGAGGTTCAGGATTTCCTCCTGGAGATGCCTTCTCAGGATCCAGGCTCTGATTCTCAATTACACTGGGGCCATTTGATTTGTCCCCAATCTGTTTACTGTTTATTTTACTTAGGGAATATTTTTACCCGAAAAAATACTTTCTGTTTTCCCCTCATAAACATGTGGAGACCTTTTTCTGTTCATGCAGTGTGCTCTTCAGCTTCTGCAAAAGTGGAGATGTTTAACTTGCATAGTTTCCATTACAAATGCTGTAATTGGTTTCATTCAATTATAAATAATCTATGGAAAACTCATCCAGGAAAGCAGAGCCCTCCTAGTAATTTTCATTTATCCTGAGGCAGCCTTAATTAATGCACCTGCCCTTTTAGGAAGCATTTTACATTTTTAATAGACAATATGGTTAAAAATTAGGGTTCTTCTTTTGTCTTGCTGCCTGCCTGAATGATAATGAATAATGGGAATTTAGATTATGTTTTCTTTAAAATGGGGAAGGGGTGATATAAACCAATAAAGCACTTAGGGTACTTTGCTCAAATGAGGTGCAGTCAATTGATATTAAATCTAAAAATAAAAATCCGATTTGTATGAAGAGTGCACAACTTCAGGAGACTTGTCCTCTGCTGAGCTTGTCCATTATAGGCAGGAGAATTGCCTGATTTGCTGGGATAGCGTGTGTGAAAGGTCACCTTTAAGATATTAGGAATCTCTCCTCAGATTCCTCTGGAATGTGCTGTGCCATTTGTTCAATGATGCTGGCTTGTCTCCAGCTTACTTAACCTAATGCAGGGCAGTCCCAGCCTGCAGCATCAGCAGTCAGCAGCACTGCTTTTTGCTTGTCTGCTGAATCTAATTGTCTTTGCTGCTGGTAGGAGCCCTGACTACCTCGTGGTGCCAGCTGCACACACTGTTTGTTTACCTTTCCTTACCATTTTTGAGACTTTTTCTTTAGGTTTGGGTATTTTTTCTATTTTGTCTTTGTGTTTTAAAGCTAGTCTGGTTTTTCATGTGCTCAGTCCACAATATTGCTGTACAAACTCTGTGCATCATTTCTGATTTGTGTACGTTTCTGTACTTTTTTGTTCTCAACCAAAATGCAATGAGGAGAGGGAGGAGAGGCAGTTCTGAAATGCATGTGACCACTGGCACTTCAGCCAGGCATATCCCTAGGTAGTGTAACAAGCACTGTCTGTGCCCATACTCCCTGGAGTCAGATCCCAGTGAGGGGATGTTCCAGTTGCTTGTATAGGGCTAGTGAGACCTTGGCTGGTAGCCCATCTCCAGTGTGGGCACAGGTATTGGAAACAGAATAACATAGGAGGTAGGGAAGATTTATTTTAAATTAGAAACAGTTGGAATCTGACCAGTCCCACTACTTACAGTTCTGCACCTCCTCTGAAACACAGGGCATGTCCCAGTGCTTCAGTTTTGGCCTTGAGTAAGGCTTGACCATCTTGCTCCCAGAGTGGCACTCTGAAGGGCACCAATGGTCAGTGGGTTTGTGCTGGACAGGCAGGAGCTCCACGGGTCAGTGCCCTGCTCAAGTACAGCTTTCCTCTAGTTTTGCCAGTTGATGGTTACACAGAGTCACCTCTAGTGTCTGTGGAACAGAACTGCAAGGTGCTCCACACTAACCACAGTGGTTGCTTCTCAGATGAGTTCAGGGAAGGCCTAGAGACAAAGAGGTATCTGAGCTACTTGACCTATAGGTGGACAAAGTGGGTAGTGCTGGTAAAGTTGGAGAGAGCTGGGAGGCATTAAGGAGACTTAAGAAAAGGACAGAAGCACTGAAAGAATGTCTAGTATTTGGTTCTTGCAGTAATTTTATCCCATAGTTGTATTTTGGTGGTCTGTCTCAGAACACAAATGGAGAGAGCTCATGTGATCTGTTCAGTAATATTCAACAAAATGTCAGGGATAGGGGTATAGAGCTAGAAATTAGGATTATTTTGAATTTTTTTGCCATTCCAAGTACAGTACTCGAACAGCACCTCAATTTTAGAGGTAGACTTATAGTGTCCTTTACAGGCACATATGTTGCAGCTCTGCACATACCTTTAGCCAACTGGAAGTTGCAAAGATTTGTTCAGCCTTGCATTTAAAGCAGACCAGATGATCCCTGCTAAGAAGCAACATATAATACCTTTGGGCTGAACAAGCAAACTATATAGATACTTGCTAGGTTTGATTTAAGGATTGGAAGGGGCATCTGCCTGTGAAGGAACATACTTTGTGTATCCTGGAATGCCTGTGTCAGGAATTGAGCAAGAGCTTACATGGGAGAGGCCTTTGGGGAAAACAAATATGAAAATATTACTATAAATTATCTGGTAAAAATTCAGCAGTGTATGGAAGGCTTACAGAGAATTATTTAGGTAGTCTTAAATTATTAGGAATGGAGAAGGTAAAAAAAAATCCTGAATGATAAAAGACCCAAGATCTGTTAAAAAGGTCACCTTTAGGGAAATAAAAGCCTGGAGAAAAGAGTGCCAAATTTGTAGCAGTAGGAGATTGATGCATGGTAACCTTACAAATTTGAAAAGGAAATGGCACTACTATGAACAAAATAACTTTGTGCTGAGTGAGTTCACAGCAACAAAGAGTTTCTGCCAGCCAGTAATGAACTACTTGATTAATGACATTGAATGGTATCATAAAACACTCCTGGAGACTTTGGAGAACACTCAGAGCTGAATTCAGGTGCTTCCTTCC